GCCAAAGTCTGCCCTCCAGAAGTCCAAGGTAGCAGTTCTGCTGACCCCCCTCCTTACTTCTCCAAGAATTAAAAACTCTAACATTTCATGACTGCTATGCCCAAGATGGCCTCCAACCACCACGTGACCCACAAGTCCTTCTCTGTTCGCAAACCACAGGTCCAGTGGGGCGCCTTCCCTAGCTGGTTCACTCACCAGCTGTGTTAGGAAGTTATCTTCCACACACTCCAGGAACTTCCTAGACTGTTTTGCCTCTGCTGTATTGTATTGGAGAAACTGGCTGCTCATGGCTTGGATGGGCATTGTTGTGGTTTAACCCCAGGTGGCAATAAGCACCACCCCAGAAGACATCTGGTAAGTTGAAGTACCCCATGAAAACAAGAGCTAATGATTGTGAGACTTCTCCTGGCTGCTTATAGAATATTTCATCTGCCTCTTCATCCTGGCTGGAGGTCTATAACAGACTTCCGCCATGATATCTGCCTTGTTGGCCTTCCCCATCTCTTACACATCAACACTCAACCCTATTGTCACCATCATTAAGCTCCAGACAATCAAAACTCTCCCTAACATAGAAGGCTACCCCACCACCTCTCCTTCCTTGCCTATCCCTTCTGAAGAGTTTATAGCCATCCATTGCAGCACTCCAGTTGTGCGAGTCATCCCACCATGTTTCCACAATGGCAACTATGTCATAGTTTTCCTGCTGCACAATGCCTTCCAGCTCCTCCTGTTTGTTGCCCATGCTGTGTGCATTGGTGTAGAGGCACTTCAGCTGGGCTATTGATCCTGCCACCTTTTTGGGCGGAGAAGCCTTAATCCCTAAGTGACCATTCTCAGGCGCCTCCATGGTTTCTAACACATCAATAACCTTTGTGTCTTTGCTGCCGCATGGATCTCCATCCCCTGCCTCCATTGAGATGGCAGACTGAAGGACCTCACTAGCACACCATCCCTCAAACATTCGCATGCTGTCCCCAGGCTTAACTCTAGTGAGCCTGGTTTTATTCCTTTCCCCCTTCAAATCTAGTTTAAAGCTCTTTCTATAAGCCTTGCTTATTCCTGTGCAAAGATCCTTTTCCCCCTTTGAGACAGGTGTACCCCATCTGTTGCCAGCTGGCCTGGTGTCTTGTAAATTGACCCACGATCAAAAACCCCAAAATTCTTGATGTATGAAAACAGTAACACAAAACATACCATTTAAGTAAGACTTCTGTCATTAATTTCATCATGACAGCAATATCTACTTTAATTTTCTTAATTAGTTAGTAAATAATTCTATTTACAAGCATGTATACAGTATGATGTTACCATTAACTACAGGAGCATATCATAATCTACTTTATTCAGGCTCTTTGATGCATATGTCAGCTAAACACTTTCAAGCACTAGTAAGCTAACACGTTGCAATTCTGCATGTAGAAAATTTCTAGAGGCATATGGGACACTTCAGCCATGCATTTCTCAAACACTTGTAAGGTAGAGCAGAACACCAAGTATCAGGAAACATGGTTTTCACAGCTGTACTGAAATATTGGGGATACAGGTATTTCCAGCAAAGATGGTTCTGTGCATTTTCAAACTTTTTCTTTCCTAATTCTTTCAACATGTCCTACAGAAATCCTATCTCATTCCCCTTCCCAGCTGCTCACACAGTCTCATGAACAGACTCCTCTAGTCAATCTTAATACTCACTCAGATGCTTCACAGCAGTATAATGCAATTCATGACAATTCACAGACTCAGAAATCTGCAAGCAACTTCAAGAGGCCATCCATAACAGTAGGAATGCCTCTAAAGGCAGTATCAGCTTGCACATACATCATTTTCCAAAAGATATCTAAGCATTTCTGAAAAACCCTCACTACACTAATTGCCAGGGAAGCATTCATTGGTTTTATTTGTTCTGTTAGAAAGGTTACTTTCACATCTAATTGAAATCTCCCTGATATTTAAGTCCCATTAATTCTTATTCTGTCCAGCATGGGCAGCAGAGATTTTTCCTTTCTTGCAGCAGTCCCTATGTAATAGAAGACTCTTAAGTTCCTCCTCAATCTTCTCTTCTTTAGAAGAAAAACAAGCATAGCTACTCAATCTTTCATTGCATTTTATTCTCAAGACCTTGCATTGTTATCATTGTTCCAGTGTGGATTCTCTCCAACTAGGCCACAACTAGGGATGTAATACTCCACCTAAGACCCTACCAAAGCTGGGCAAAGCTGAAGATTTATTTCACACATTTTGAAAGTTATATCATGTCCTGTTGATGTATCTTCTAGGAAGTGTTACTAACCTTTTGTTATACCACAATATTGTTAATTCACTTGCACTGGTGATGTACTATAACCCTACATCTTTTTTTTTTTGCACAGCAGATCGTTCTTTGTGTTATATTTGTACCTAACTGTATGAGAATCTGCATGAAAATTACAATTCTCACTTTTCCCTAATAAACTTCATCTAACACTTTTCTCAAAACCTTTTCCCTTCTGCCAGAAGTCCTTCCAATTCCATTATACTTTCAGTACCTTCCAATCCAAAATCAATGGAAATTGAGGCCTGACCTGTTATTATCAAGAAGAATTCTACTCTATACATCTTTCAATTTTAATAATGAACCACTGGTAACTATTCTCCAAATACAGCGGATTCTTTTAGACCAAGTTTTCTCAGCTCACTCATGAGACAATGTGAAAAACTAAGACCATCATCTGCTTCTGTGTTTATAAGGTCTGTTACCTTTTCACATCAGAAACTATGATTGCTTTGACATAATCTCTTCTTGATAAATATATGTTTCATTTGCTTGTCTCCTTGTTATCGTCCTGGTACTTAAACAGTCTGATAATTTGCGTAAGTATTTTTCTGTGAATTGTAGTTAAACTCACCTCATAATTTCTTGGCTCTCTTTTTCTTCCTTTTTAAAAACGAAATACTTCATTTGTCTACCACTGCTGCCTTTCTCCTCCTCCATTTCTCACCACAAAAAAATGCACTCTGAAATTTTGCCTGCCAGTCTTGTAGGTACAAGAGAATGAAGCTCATAATGACCAGTTAATTTGAAGAAATCTAATGTGTTTCTATTTTCTAAATTGTTCTTTCCCAATTTGAAAGAGACATTGTATCTTTTTATAAGTGGTATTAATTCCTCTAGTCACTGATTGCCATTTTGGTGGAGACTCACAGATGCAAGACAGACATTACTTTTTCAGCATTATCTATTGACAGTTTTCTCATTCCATTAATCTGCGTATCAACCCTTTCCTCAATTGTCTTCTCACTGTGAATATAGTTATAGAATGATTTCATGTTACTTATGTCTCTTGCTAGTTGCATGACATTCTTGAGTTAGCCTCTGAATTTCTTCACATTACACTTTTCCATCCTTCCTTCCATTAAAAAAACAATTCTGATATTATTCCTTCTTCTTGGATTTGAGATCAACAAAGCCTTCCCACCACTGCCAGAATCCTTGTCTCCTTTATTCTCTTCCCCAGTTCAAAATATTCATCAGATCCCAGACTCTATTTGTTTACCTCATTCCTTCTTTCAATGGCTACCTACCTAAACCTCTGCCCTTGGAATTTCTATGTGCTCCTGCCTTACCTTCTTGACCCACTTAATTCTAGGTCTTTTTCTATACAATGACTAATTAATTTATCTTCTGTTCCCACCTACTTCTTGTTCACTCGCCAGTTCCCAGGCCCAGTGCCCCTGTTAGGATAGTTTCAATATCATGCTAAATTCTGTGTTTCATCTTGGTATCCTCAGACACTGGCTTTCTGTAGCCCTTTGTTTCTCTACCCAATATACAGTCTTTCTGGAGACTGCTTCCAGATCCCCCTCTCAGCTTTTTATCCCCTATCTACTTATTCCTCATCACAAGACTAGTTTTTGCCCCTTCTGCACCTAAAGTAGCACAGTGTCCTCCTCCTGTTTGTCATAGTCAAACAACAAAACAGTCCACTGCAGAAATTGCCCAAAATATGAGGTTGGATGCCTAGAGCTAAAATTACATAAAGTGATATGAATATTAACGACAACATTCTTATCTGAGTGGGGCAGAAGCACGAGCAGAGTATTTATGAAACTTAGTGGTTAAAAATCTGTACCACTTTCTACTGACTTTTCAAAGGCTAAAACTTGTGGAGAGGAACAAAAAGACAGTGAAACACATATCTGTAGCACAAAGGCCAATTTTGCCTTATTTCAGTCTCAGGGCTAAAAATGCTTGCTGAAGTTTTACGAAAGAATTCACTGAAATATTCTAACAGAAGTAAAACCGTGTGTCATCTCCCTTGCATATTTTCCCAAGTGGTAGGATAGCTCTCAATCTTCTTTCTTCCCTTTTTCGTAACCCGTGGTCCTATGATCACAGCTACAATAAAGGCAGATACAGTATAAAATATGTTAACAACTTTCAGGAAAGTTTTTACCTTGATATCAGAGGTGTCACGCTGACTATTGCGCCATGCTCTTGAAATAGATGAAAAAGTTCTATCTGCATGATCAAACTTCCCACCTTGTAGATTTAGGAAAAGTGTTGTAAAGGGCTCCTAAATACATATAAAAAGATTAATTAAAAACAGCAAATGTATTTCTTCAGGAATTTCAGGGGAAAAAAAGGATTTATTATTCTTTTGGGGTTTGGTTATTAATGATGCTATTCTTCTGGCAGACACTTGATTAATTGCAAAGGGTTAATTCTGCTATCCAAGAATGAGAAATATAAACTGATGCTTATTTGTTCAATAAATGCTTTTTATTCCTACTCCATGCATATATATTCAGATAAAGAAAAGCAAATAAAAACAAAAGAAAATATTTACATGCTGGTGGAGAAGCTACAGTCAGTTGTGACACAAATTGCTCTCAAAAACATGAAAAAGCTCAATATTTTTAGCTCAGACATTTTTAAACTAGCATGTAACAAAAATAACACATGCATTTTATTTTGTTCAAGGTAATCTATTAATATAAAGGGTAACATTCAATACCAATAGCTTTATGATTGTTACTGTTTAATATGTAATTTATGATTTAGAAAAGAAAAATGTTTGAAAGATTTAAAAGCCTCCTCTTAGTTAAAGAACACTTAAGCACATATTAGTGGATAATTGCTTGAAATTAGCTAAGCACTATAAATTACTTCAAGGATTTATGTATGCTTGTACATTCTAACAAGCTTTAATTAATGATGTGCTGCTAATGCTTTCCCAAAGAAATTACTTTCTAGGAGATAAATCGCCTTTCAATTTTATAGAAAAATGCATTGTTTAACCAATATATTATCAATATGTAGCGTCTCAAAAGTTACTTCCATATAAATGCCAGCAGATTTTTAAAAAATTAATTATTTACACCACAGAATTTCATGATCATCAGAAACCAACTCATTTACTCTCATTAGGAGGTGAAAATTAAATGCATTCAGTAAGAACCACAAATGTTCAGTATGTGGTCCAATCAGAAAATATGCAAGGAAGGAATGTTAACTATGTTTAAAGTAATGTAAGAATGTAACTAAAAAGCAATTTTTAAGGAAAAAAAGCTTTACTGATTTGAAAAGGCTGTACCATAAAAATTAAAACTTTCTGCTCAAACTTCGGAACACATTTATTCTACAGTACTGATTACAAATACTAGAAAATTTCAGGACTCTCCTATGCCATTGAGTTTTAGTTTATTCATTCCTAGCTATTTGTTGCTTTCATTATCATTTAAAGGAAAAGCATTTTTAGAAGATATACTTACAATTCTTAATAACCATGTGAGTGCGAAACTTGCAGTTGAATAATGTGTGCCATAGTGAAATTTTGGAACCTGATCATCTTCCCATGATTCATATCTCTCAGCAAAGAACGCTGCTCTCTTTGGGTTCAAAGCTCCAATAGGCTACAAGGTTTGTAAAAATAAATAAATAAAGTAAATAAAGATAACATGATCTATTATCACATCATATTCCCCTTGTTCTTTTTGGTAACCAGAATTATCACACGCATGGAGAAGACTGTTTTGTGTTTTGCAAAAGCAGATGTTGCATTCTGTAAGCACCTGAACAGCACCTGTGTATTTCAAACCAGGATTCCATGTACATGCACATGGCTGGTTGGAAAAAAGTCTCTTCTGCATTCATATAGCCCTCATTTCTATTTACTGCTGATTCAAGTCAATGACTAAAAACTGCTTCACAGTGGAATGTCTTGGACAAAGAGTTGTTAACTTGTGTGCCTGTGGATATGTGTGCAGGTTAAATACACTATTAAGCAAATGGTAAGCAACAACAAGAAACATCTTTGGATATTTTGGGGGCAAAAATAGTGACTGATAGGGTGGAAGAATATTAACAGTGCATTTGGAATTTTGGTATTACTATTGTTTCTGTGCTTTCTATTTACCATCCAAGACAAGTTTTACTTAATGGATAAAACCTGAAACTTTGAAATAGACTAATAAAATAGCAGCATTTCTATATAAAAACATTGATATAAAAGAAACAAGTAACATATGTATGACTAAAAAAGTCTGTCACACTTTCACCAACATTGTTATTCTTTGTTCAGCGCTTACCTAGGACATAAACACCAAGGGATTTATTTAAATGTAAGAAATATAATATTTTGTTATCTATAGCTGCATATTTCTTCAGCAGACTGTTACATAAAGGATTTGGAAAAATCAGTATACGTCACATAAGTCACTGAGAAACGCAAAAGTTAATTTAGCCATTCCACACGTAGAACACTGTAAGAGGTCTAAAATATCTTTGTATTTGTGAAGATACATGCAAAATATCTGCAATACAATTTTGTATACATATTGAGCACACTGTTTGTATGTTATTAATGTAAATGATGCCCGTCTGTACAGACAATGGATGCATTCAAGTGTAACCGAAGAATAAACATGCAAAAATATTTTCTTCTTTCTGTTCTGCAAGAATAAATATATTTAAGAATACACTACAAGATAAGGAAAGACTTTAAAAGAAAAGTCCTTGAACAAAAGTATCAGTAACCTAGTCATTAATTCAAGCATAGTTCAACTAAAAAACTATGTCCGCTATTCAGATTATTATTATTCAGATAACTGCTTCTTTGCAGCTCACGTGAAATTTGGCATGCAAGCTTTGAAGTATTTTCTCTTCTAGGATAGATTAGATCTATGAATGACCTAAGATCTAATCTTACATTTTTTACTTTGAGCACCTTTCACATTGCAGTAGGATAAAGAAAACATCTTAGGTTAATTACTATTTTTGCAGTTCACTAATTTGAAATATAACCCTTTAGAAGAAGTGGTTCTTGTATAAAAGGATTTTTATCTGATTTAGCAAATTTATTCCAGGGAAGAATGAAACTGACTCCAAGAAGTCTCTTTGTTGCAAGAACCATTTTGGAATCTCCATCTGTACTGATTTTCCCTAAAGACTCAGCTATGCTTGAGGGAAAAAAGAAGAAAGAAGGTCATTGGTAGACAAATTATATAAATTAAAAAGAGAAACAGTGTTGTGCTGTATGGTTCTGTAACATTTTATGTATTCTCTTTATCTGCCCCTATTTTTATTACTCTCCAAATGAGTATAGCCCAAATCAATAGTTATAGAATTACACTCCTTGAATATAAAGCAAAGCTAAACCCAATTAGAATTGATTTCATTCTCTTTTCAAAAAAAAAAAAAAAAAAATGGTATCATGCAGAGATCCATATAGCCAGAATCCACAGTATTGATTTTGGCTGTTATTGTTACAGTTGGTTTCTGAAGCCTGCAACAGGACAACTATCAAGACATGTCACATTTATTTGCAAGCAAATAAAAAAAGTCCCCAAATGAAAGAAAGCTTAGGGAAAAAAAAAGAACCATGGAGCTGTGCACTGACAATGATACACTATCAGCTTACTCAGAGAAGTTACAGTGGGAATACACACATTGAATTATACATTACACGAATGCACTGATTTATTGTGGTAATAACATCCACCTCATTAAAAGATTCTGCTTTGCTGCAGTTGGAGGGCTACATATTGTTTACTGCTATAAATTAATGGCAGTGCACAGAAGACTGTAGAACCCTTCTAACAATAGATCTGTAATGACAGTGCTGTATATCACAGCTTCCCCAGCAGCTTCATAATAAAATGGAGACAATGTATTGGGCTAATACATTCTACCAGCCAGGCCCATATTTTTCTGACAACTGCTTCTAAGGATGAGGTGATTCTAGTGTGTTGCACTGCACTATGAACAGTTAACTAAGCTTGAGCTACAGAATAAAGGACATAAAAGGAATATTCAAATACCCCCTGACTTTTCAAATTAATTGAAATTTTGTAATTATTTCATATTTCAAAATTAACAGGGAGTCATGATTACATACTAGATTCCCTCCCCTTTGGGTAAACGCCAAAGGAAGAGTTAACTCCAAACTAAGCTATGCTAGATGTAGCTGTGAGACCACAAATCTACACTACTCACACTACCTTCCCTATGGCTACAGACAACTAAGGAAGAACAAGCTGAAAAGCTTTCATATCCAGAAATTCCAGAATATATTTTCTTTGCAGTACCTCTTTTCAGAGTGGAAAAATAGATATTAGTTCACCAATTAAAAATACTTATTTAGATGGGGGAAAAAAGAAAAGTAGAGGTAGAAAAATTCCAACAAGCAAAAACAATGGCTGAGATTACAGGAGTCAAGACCAAAAAAGAAATCACTTATGGCTGCTAAGTTTTCAAACTGCATTGAAAAATGAATAATGCATATCGTTTTCAAGTCAGAGTTCATTCAAAAAAGGCTCCAAACTGGAGGAAGAATTGGGGTAAGGAAGTTTTTGTTTTCTCTTTTTGAAAGGCATGATCACCTGGTTTTTGACCCAAAGTGGTTGTTATAACATGTGCTACAAATATGAAAGTTACAAGCTATTCTTAAAAAAACCAAACTCATTTGATATCAATTTTTCAAGTGCTCTCAAATCTAGGAATACCTCAAAATAAATAAACCTCACATTTTGACCAAGAACCGAATATAGTAAATCTCAGTCTTTGGACCAAGCTTGGTTGCTTTCTTTGAGACACAACAAAGAAAAATGGTCTGTTGAAAAATAACTGAGAAAACACTCTGACTCTTACCATCTACTGCTGTTAAATATGTCCAGACACTATGGTGTACAGTTATATCTGTTGGTTCTTAATCTTACTCTGCGCCAGACACTGGAACAGTGGCCCATCTTGCCTCCATTTTCAGAAGAGGCCCTGTTGCACCCAACAGAAGAAAGCAGAATGCTCACTGCTCCTCTGCATAGGGCAGAATCTCTCCTGGATTCTGTCGCTCATGTTCAAAAATACATACATTTTGGAAAATTGTTAATGACCTAACATAAGCAGACTGAAGTCTTATAAAGAATTACGATATGTTTATTTACAGTTACACATTTAAGAAGAAAAAGAAGTGCTTTTTATTCCTAATGTGTTTTTATTTTTAAATAGTGTTACTCCAAAGAAACAGACATACCCTGTTCTTACTCATGCTGCCTTTTGTTATTGGCTTTTACACAGGCTTCTGTTATTAAAACAAACATTGCCACTTTTACTGTCTCCTATCCATTGTAATACTGGGAAGACTTTTTAACTCATTAATATTCAAAATCCATGAAAGACTAGAGTACTATGGCAGTAAATTGCATTTAATTACTGCAAACAGTAAGTAGTCAAGATACCCTAGTTTCATCTTAACTGTTAACTGTTACGTCTTTTGCTGAAGATGGCAACCTTAACAATTACTACTGGAAATCAGGACATGTGCCTGTGAGTTCTGAAAAGTAGGCAGTTCCAGAAATTAAGTCCATGCTGACCAGTGCAAACAGAAAGATTTAAAAATTAATGAAAATATTATTCTTTGAAATTTGTATTTCAAAAGTTCTTCACCATGAAAAAAATGTTAAAAAGGAAAGAAAGACACTAAAAAAAAAAAAGAAAAAAGACAAAAAGCAAAAATGGAGGGGGGGGGAGAAAAAATGCTTTTCCTTGTGATTTCTTATACCGTTTTCTTATCCATACCCAATCAGGTATTTGGATTCCTGTGAATACCATTGTCTGTATCATTGAATTATGTTTTGTAGCATCCTTGCCAAGTATGATGTTTGTTTTTCATACGTTTTATTTTCAAGATGACTATCTGGTTTTCATTACTGATATTTTTCATATATTCATTGGGCTTAAAGGAGCAGGGGGACCATTAGGTGATCTCATCTAGCCTTGTGTTTGTATGACAAGCCATTAAATGCCTTTCCATTACATGATTTTGAGCCCAACTGTTTACACTTGATTATAACATGAGCTGTATTTGGCCAACCTGCTTTCCAGAAAGGCATTTGACTCTTGAGTACACAGACAATCTGCTATTTTTCTTGGAAGCTTTTTCTACTGATAATTGTGATCCTCATTCTAAAAAATACGTACTTCAGTTCGTCTATGAATTTACTGGTGTGTTACCAAAGAAATCTTGTTATGTTTCTCTCTGACATACCACAGAGTCTCTACTTACCCAGTATTTTCTGTATATAAAGATACTTATAGACTATAATTAGACCTTTTAATAAACAAAAGAAATCGAGCTCTTCAGGTCTTCCATTTTAAGGCATTTCTTCCAGCCTTAAGACTTCTCTGCAGCCTGCCCACTTATCAATGTATTCTAATATACAGATAACTGAAATGTGTTCAGTGTTCCAGTGTTAGACTTCTCACTGTTGTAAATATGCCAAGTGCTGTATACTCTGCTGCAATCTAACCACAACTGCATTTTTAGAGGATTGCTTGTTTAGTTACTTTATGTATTACCAACACATAATTAACTCCCAGAACTAGCCAATACTTGTAATATTGTCAGTGGGACTTC